CGGAATCGATAAGCAGAATCGGAATCGATAAAATTCAAACGATACCCAACCTTACTGGTGTGCATCTTGAGACAAAACAAAGGCACTGATATATTTTAAGATCAGTCAGTGCAAGTTTCTTTCAGTTGAAACAGCTCAGACTTACATTTTAGTCTAGGACTAGGCTTAAGCCTTGTCTGTGAAACCGGGGGATAATGTTGCAATAAATGGTATTTATTATTATGATCATTATTAACTACTTTGACAAGTTTTACTATATAATAGTAATACATTTCTGTCACAATTTGCCCTACAGTCAGTTGGTCCAAGGGTTGAATTTCGACAAGCCCTTGCATAATCACACCATGCCAACAATTTGCATCACTTTCAATAAATCATCAAAATACATCAGCATACACCCTTTAAAGTGAACATCTGGATTTCCCTCATTTAGCTCGACGTGTTAGGAACTAATTCCACCTACAGTCGAGTCTCAAAGGTGTCAAATTAGCTGAAGTGACTGGGTTTTGTCTGAAAGTGGAGGCAGTGCAGGATTATGGGGTGTGATTCAATGTCTAACTATCTCCACCTGATAAACCTATGACTCACTGTAACACAAAGTTAACAGAGGAGGGTCACGTGAACCGAACTGACGCAGTTTCACCTCTGATTGGGATCATTATCAGGGCTGATCATTTTAACTCCTGGGCTTGTGAGGCTCCTCCTGTTCTCATTTGTTCCTCTTTTAAAAGGGCATCTGTGACAACTCTTCCTGTGACCGCAGTGAGCCGTGCCTTCAGGAGCAATGCTTTGCATAATAGGCTATTTCACAGCTCAAGAAAAAGAAATGTGCTGTTTTATAGAGCAATAAGCATTCGAGACTGTGTGTCATTTTTAGATAAAATTACTTTTTTTTATACAAGGGTAAAAAGGTACGTCATGTCAAGCAAATGCATGCATTAATGTCAAGATCTTGTAACTCAAAGGGTAGATACGAGATAATGTTGCTAAGGTCATTCCAAGGTAAATAAACTCATATGTAAAACAGTTAGAAAACAATCTGCCAAATGCATAAAATGTAAACTACCATTCAAACATTGGTGTCGAGTTTGAAAGTTCAGATTTTTTAATCTCTTATGCTCAACTTTTATTTAGACAAAGATACAGTAATAACAGTAATATTGTGAAATATTATTACAATTTCAAATAGCTGTTTTCTAAGTAAACATATTTTAAAAATGTAATTTATTCCTGTGATCAAAGTTGAATTTTCAGCATAATTACTCCAGTCTTCAGTTTTTTCAAATTCTGTGTTTTCTATTTTATTTTTTCTGGATTATTTGTTTTATGATTGTGAGTGTCTAATGAAATCACCAAATAAAACTTTAACAATTTAATCAGTCTTTTAAAATCAGATGAAAATATTACAAATTTACAACAAAACATTTTCAGGCAAGGTGCTGCACAACTTTAAAAAACAATAATACTGCAACGGTTTCTAATTAAATTAAAACATAAAACTTTTTAAAAACTTTTTTTTAACAATTTATTAAATATTTTAAAAGTAAACAAATATAACAATTAAAACCAAGCATTTTATTTTTTGTCAAATAAGGGGCTTTTATTATCAATGTTGAAAACAGTCGTGCTGCTTCATATTTTTGAGAAAACTTTGATGCATTTTTTTTCAGGATTCTTTGATAAATATAAAGTTCAAAAGAACAGCATTTATATGAAACTATTTTATAACATTATAAATGTATTTACTGACACTTTAAATCAATTTAATGCATCCTTACTGCCTTTAATTTCTTTCAAAAAGAAACAAACAAATCTTTAAACAATATTACACCGCCCAGCCTGTCCATTTTTAATCGCTTGTTGTAATGGGTGGATCAGTTCTGCAGACCTTGAGACACATTGTGAATCACTGCTTCATCTCCAGGCCTGTCAGAGCTTCAGACTCTTTTTATCATCCACTTGAGCATCACCAGCTCATAAACGAGAGCCTTCTTCAGTGCCGAAGTATTGACCGAGCTCTGACAGCCTGTTACTTACGAGCAGTGACTCCAAGACGCCTTTAGACGATAGATGAGAAAAACCAGCCCTGACCTGCTTCATCTGGCCCCGTTTATTGATTTTATCATTTAGTCAGAAACAGAAAAAGTCCTCTGCAAACATTTTCCAAATAAAAAAAGCCCCATAACATTACAACTTATTTAATGTTAAATAAATTCAACATGAATGCATGCTCCTGCTCTTTTTTACTCCAGGCAATTTTGCTCTGCAAACATTTTCCAAATAAAAAAAGCCCCATAACATTACAACTTATTTAATGCTAAATGCTAAAAACATGAATGCATGCTCCTGCTCTTTTTTACTCCAAATAAAAAAAATGTTTATGCAAAATTTCACAGAATCCAGAAAAATTAAATGGAAAAGAGATTTGAAGATCTGTTTCCATTTTCATTCTGTGTTTTATTATTTAATACAAATTTATCATAAAAAAATGTGTCTAATGAAATGAATTCAAACTTTAACAATTGAATCAATCTTTTAAAATGTAATCAAATGAAATATAATTAACTAATTGATTAATTTAGCATGTTGCATAAACATACTTATACTTTAGATGACAAAGTATTTTCCACAAATAAATAAATATTTAATAAAAATATAATTAAAAAGGAAGTAAACTGTAACCAACAGGGGATAATGTTGCTAAGGTCATTCCAAGGTAAATAAACTCATATGTAAAACAGTTAGAAAACAATCTGCCAAATGCATAAAATGTAAACTACCATTCAAACATTGGTGTCGAGTTTGAAAGTTCAGATTTTTTAATCTCTTATGCTCAACTTTTATTTAGACAAAGATACAGTAATAACAGTAATATTGTGAAATATTATTACAATTTCAAATAGCTGTTTTCTAAGTAAACATATTTTAAAAATGTAATTTATTCCTGTGATCAAAGTTGAATTTTCAGCATAATTACTCCAGTCTTCAGTTTTTTCAAATTCTGTGTTTTCTATTTTATTTTTTCTGGATTATTTGTTTTATGATTGTGAGTGTCTAATGAAATCACCAAATAAAACTTTAACAATTTAATCAGTCTTTTAAAATCAGATGAAAATATTACAAATTTACAACAAAACATTTTCAGGCAAGGTGCTGCACAACTTTAAAAAACAATAATACTGCAACGGTTTCTAATTAAATTAAAACATAAAACTTTTTAAAAACTTTTTTTTAACAATTTATTAAATATTTTAAAAGTAAACAAATATAACAATTAAAACCAAGCATTTTATTTTTTGTCAAATAAGGGGCTTTTATTATCAATGTTGAAAACAGTCGTGCTGCTTCATATTTTTGAGAAAACTTTGATGCATTTTTTTTCAGGATTCTTTGATAAATATAAAGTTCAAAAGAACAGCATTTATATGAAACTATTTTATAACATTATAAATGTATTTACTGACACTTTAAATCAATTTAATGCATCCTTACTGCCTTTAATTTCTTTCAAAAAGAAACAAACAAATCTTTAAACAATATTACACCGCCCAGCCTGTCCATTTTTAATCGCTTGTTGTAATGGGTGGATCAGTTCTGCAGACCTTGAGACACATTGTGAATCACTGCTTCATCTCCAGGCCTGTCAGAGCTTCAGACTCTTTTTATCATCCACTTGAGCATCACCAGCTCATAAACGAGAGCCTTCTTCAGTGCCGAAGTATTGACCGAGCTCTGACAGCCTGTTACTTACGAGCAGTGACTCCAAGACGCCTTTAGACGATAGATGAGAAAAACCAGCCCTGACCTGCTTCATCTGGCCCCGTTTATTGATTTTAACATTTAGTCAGAAACAGAAAACGCTCGTGCAATTTTGGAGAGTCCTCTGCAAACATTTTCCAAATAAAAAAAGCCCCATAACATTACAACTTATTTAATGCTAAATAAATTCAACATGAATGCATGCTCCTGCTCTTTTTTACTCCAAATAAAAAAAATGTTTATGCAAAATTTCACAGAATCCAGAAAAATTAAATGGAAAAGAGATTTGAAGATCTGTTTCCATTTTCATTCTGTGTTTTATTATTTAATACAAATTTATCATAAAAAAATGTGTCTAATGAAATGAATTCAAACTTTAACAATTGAATCAATCTTTTAAAATGTAATCAAATGAAATATAATTAACTAATTGATTAATTTAGCATGTTGCATAAACATACTTATACTTTAGATGACAAAGTATTTTCCACAAATAAATAAATATTTAATAAAAATATAATTAAAAAGGAAGTAAACTGTAACCAACAGGGCACTCAGTATTCTGGGAAATTTGTGTGCATTGGGAATCATATTTTTTCAAATAAAGTCAAGGTAACACTCATTTTACATACAGCACACAGTGAAATTGACATGAATATAACTGCAAATGCATAAAGCGCAGCATAATTTGAAATCACGAACTTAATGTTTAAAGCATTCAATTTGCATGGAACAAAAGTCACGCAGAGAACGCGATCATGCAGGTAACATGCACACTTCACAAGATCTTGCAAATGCATAAAGCGCAGCATAATTTGAAATCACGAACTTAATGTTTAAAGCATTCAATTTGCATGGAACAAAAGTCACACAGAGAACGCGATCATGCAGGTAACATGCACACTTCACAAGATCTCACAACTGGATTCGACTAAGTTTGCAAGGTTTGTGAAATTAAATGTTCATTAGACATTCAAAGATTTGTTTAAATTATGTAACGTAAATGCGTATTTGCTGAATGCTGACGGCAAACGAGAAAGTATTACAATGTTTGCCTTTCTATTTCTAATAATATAAAAGCAATCGTTATAATACTTTTTAAAAATATAGACTAAAATAAAAATGACAAACAATCTCAAATTACAATAAAAACAAAAAATCTTAAAATAAAGAATAATTCAAAATATTAGCAAAACACTGTTATGGTATCTCAATGATAGTGAAATGAAGCGGTGACTTACGCCATGATGCCAGACAGATGAAACACCTCCGCCGATAGGTAAGCCATGTAGCTGTAGACGAAGACGAACAGAGGCTCGATGACGCGCGTGTGCGAGGTGAAGCGGGATGTGAAGGCCGCCAGGATGCCGTAGATGGCGCCCACCACGATACCGCCCAACGACACCACCAGAAAACACACGATACCCAGAAACACATCCATGACAGTGATCGAGCCCACACTGCTGTACTCCTCAAAGAGATGATACAGCACCTACAGACAAAACACCAGGAAGTGTGCATCAGAAATGAGCAGCATCCACAGCATTAGAGCCAGAGGCAGCTTAACAAAACATACAGGCCTGGTTTCACAAACACGGCTTAGTTTAGGCCAGGATTGTCCATAGTTCAATTAGGACATTTAAGCATCTTTTAGAAACGTGCCTCAGAAAAAAAAAACATTACTGGTGTGCATCTTGAGACAAATTAATGGCACTGACATATTTTAAGATCAGTCAGTGCAAGCTGCTTTCAGTTAAAAGAGCTCAGACATGCATTTTAGTCTGGGACTAGGCTATTAAGCCTTGTCTTTGAAACCGGACATAGTGTTACCATGGTATTAAAATTAACATTTTATAATTTCAATTACATTTTTTAGTTAACAATTTTAATTATTATTATATTTATATTTAAAAAAATTTAATGTATTACTATTTTTAGTTAACATTAAAATTTAATTTTTGAGCAATATATATATATATTTTTATTTATTAATGATATATTATAATTTCTTATAAGTTATATTTATTATAAACTATTATAGTCAATTATAATAAATAGTATATATCATTTATTTTAATGAATATACCGTATATTAGATTAAATAATATATATGAACAACCTATTTTTTATTTATTCTAATTATACTTCATTATACTTATTCATAATATATTTTAATTAATATACAGTATCAGAAGAATATATACACACACACCCACACCCACACTTAATATATTAATTTAATCAAATTATTATAATGATATATTTCTTATTTGCATAATTAAATTAAATTATTAAATTGACTCGCAGACGTACATAAATAAATATAGTATTACTATGATAAAATATATTATATTATTTTTTTTACATTTATTTAAATGATATCAATTATTTCATTTATTATTTATTTATTTAGTTTGCTAGTTAGTTAGACAGATAGCTAGTTGGTTAGTAAGTTAGTTCAACACCATAGCTAAGACTGCATCACAAGGTTTCTTGCTTAAATTCACGAAAATGTGTAAACATCAAGATTTAGTATTTTTTCCTCTTGTGCGGAGATACACAGAATTAGACTTTATGAAGTGCATTAAATATTATCAGATCCTTTTGTCCTTGTGCAAAAAAACTCAAACATTTATTTACTGCTTCCCAGTGGAGATGTGCAAAACGGGACAACCAATACTCCTCAGATTAGCAGAGGAGGACTTCACTGAACACCTGATATCATGTTTGACTTCTTTCATTGATCACCTCTAAGTGTGATTTGTTTCATTGACCACTCGAGACAGAAGCTCATTGAAAGCACGAGGTCAAGCAGTCAAGGAAAAACAGTTGAGGTAATGGAAACGAGACGCCTCTTCACAAGACTCAATCAGCTGATAAACTGAGCTGCGAGAGGGAATTCTCCCAGAGAGAGAAGGACTGGAACAATCCCATAGATTATACAGAGACTAGCAGCTGATCGATAAGAGAGCTATAACAGCCCATGCAGGACACAATAAATTACATACCGCCAATAACTAATATAAAATAATAACACCATTTAATTAAAATGACAATTAAATTAATTAAAATAAAATTACATTAATATTATGAGAGTAAATTTCAATATAATTATATTCTAAATATATACAAACCAAACACCAATGACTTGTACATATGGGTGCAGTCATTTTAGACACTTCCAAAACTGTTGCAGCAGAGATGGAAATACAATTTTTAAATACATGAATTGTTTCCATCTTTATTGCCACAGTTTTGGAAGTGCCTTTTTCTGTTCTAAAGAAGGATGTGTCCCAATACTTTTGACCATATAGTGTATGTACAAGTCATTGGTTTTTTGGCTCATGGTCTGCATTTAAAGGCACACCAGAGGTGTTCAGCTGCTTTCTGCAGACCAGCCAAGTTCTTCCACACTGACTCAATCAATCATTTCTTTTTTTAACCTTGCCTTATACACAGAGGCATTGTCATGTTAGAATAGAAAAGGGTCCTGTCCAAACTGTTGCTATAAAATTAGAAGCACACAATTATCTATAATATCATTATATGCTTAAACATTAAGATCTATCTATCTATCTATCTACCTTAAATAAATAATTTACAAACGATATTATTTAAAAATAAGAATATTTTTCTCATATATATATATATATATATATATATATATATATATACACACATATTTATATATGACATATAACATATATGCAAACACAGACATTATACACCAGGGTTCCTCAATAGGCAGCCCGCGGGTCACATCCGGCCCTTGAGAGAAAAATGTTTGGCCCGCGCTAATTTAAAATAATGTGGCATGAAAATTCAAACCCAGCACCAGACAGCGACATTAGTCTGACACCGTGTCTATACCGGACGCGAGTGGCGCGGCACGACGTGACAAAATACAATAGAATCCATTATAAACAGTGATGCTGTCTACACTGGATGCAGAGCGGCGCGACACGACAAACCCCCAACAGTAAACAGATCCCTCGTTCTATATATGACGTACTGCAGTGTTGCCAAGTCCGTGGTTTTCCCGCGGAATTGGGCTACTTTAACACTGTTGCCGCGTGTGTTTTTTTCATGTCCGCGGGTTGAAACGACCCCAATAACGTGATATTTATGTAATATTTAGCCCCTGGAACGTGAATTTTACCAGGAGATAAACAGTTATCCCTGAATAGTTTTGAGTGAGTGAGTGAGTGAGTGAGTGAGTGAGTGAGTGAGTGAGTGAGTGAGTGAGTGAGTGAGTGAGTGAGTGAGTGAGTGAGTGAGTGAGTGAGTGAGTGAGTGAGTGAGTGAGTGAGTGAGTGAGTGAGTGAGTGAGTGAGTGAGTGAGTGAGTGAGTGAGTGAGTGAGTGAGTGAGTGACTGACTGACTGACTGACTGACTGACTGACTGATAGCATCTTTGTTATAAAACACACGAGTTGGTTCACATGGAGTTCACAATTTTAACGTAGCCTACCACAATTTTGCTTTGATTTATTTTCAAGATCTGAGGTAAAATATCTGTTGTTGCTTTCAGTATGGCTATAAAGGTCATGCAAAATAATATTCAAACATTAGACACTTTTAACATTGAATAAAGCACATAATCATATATATACAGTGGGTACGGAAAGTATTCAGACCCCCTTAAATTTTTCACTCTTTGTTATATTGCAGC